ATCATTTCTGTAATATTCTTGCAATTGATTATTAAATTATAAGAAAAAAAAAGCGTCGTGATTGCACTCTGTCGCTTTCAATGTCTTTCCATTATTTCTTTTAGGGCATTAAAGTCATTTAACCGACCGACAAATCGACACTCATTAGCAATTGAAGATTTTCGTAATTGTAGAAGAAAGGAAACAGAAAAAAAAAAAACTCCGTGTAATTTTTGTTTACCGAATTGCGAAAACAGTGGATAATGGAAAGACTATTTCTTTGGCAAACACAATTTGTACGGTTCCGCGCGGGTTCTTTAGCACAAGGCAAGGATTGGGATTTCGCAATGACCTCTACCACTGCAGAAGAACATTCTATCGTATCTTATATTGTCAATATCAATCAAGATATTGTTCAATTTCAGTTATTAACACTTTTATATTTCTTAAAAACATTAAATATGTATGGTTGATTTGACAGTCCGTATATTCATACATATGGACAACTAATGTAATATTAATTTATATAAAATATAGTACATTTGTTATTTTATTTAATTTTTATTATTATTATTATTTTTTCCATTACAACTGTAAATATTCCTGAGAAGATTATATTTTTGTATAATTATGGCATGGGTAGTTTCTTAAGAAGTGTTATTACGCCGTTATATCCATATGTAATAATTTACTAGATGTATTTCTTTAATACAGTTGCAAATATCATTAAGAAATAAATTTTTTTTATTGTTTACATATTATTATTTAAATCACGTATATATTATTACATTTTGTATTGAGTTAGTTTTTTATTATTTATGTTTATTGTTACCTCTATCCTGTAGAGGTCATTGCCAACACATTTTGCTTATACTCTGTTATAGAAGTTTTAAAAATTTCAATGTTTTTTCCACTGTCTTTTCGTTATCTGTCAGGTTTTCTTTTAGGCTCTGTGTCAAGTTTGGTCCATGGCACAGATCTGATAGAAAATTACATGTTCTTTTCAGCGATATATGGTTATATTAGAATATTTGGGAAGAGATTTAAACAATTTTTATTTGTATTTTTAACAGGTATATTATACTTACTGTACTAGGTTTAAAGTGTAATAAAACTATTCAAACTCAGAAGCTCACTAATATTATTTTTGCATTTGGTAGAGAATTCTATGCTATCTTCATTAATACATGGTTGTATGTATTGGTGTAGTTGGAGAGAGATTTCAGCTACAGGTAGTTTTCGATATTTTAATATTTTTTACTGGAGGTCTATGGATAACCAAAATAAAAAGAAATAATAAACAATTAAAAGATTAAAAAGAGGACCACACTTAAAAAAAAAATGTATATATTTTTCTTAAAATATAAAACTTCTATTCAACACTAGTACATTTGAATAATGCCCATTCTAATAGAGGCCGTATCACTTTCTTCGGAATTCGGCATGGTTCAAGTTATTTATAATACATTTTTCTTTCTCCGAGGAAGGCAGATGCTTCAATGTCAGTGTCAGAGTAAAAGTGGTTTCGCTTTCGCTGGGAGAATCTTCTTCAGAAGGAAGTATATCTTCCTAAAGGAAACGGACACTACCATCGATAGAACATCTTTCGATTTTTTATTCAATGATAATACATTTTACTAGAATTGCTTTGTGTCGAAACTAAATATGCATGTTAATAGTGAACAGATGGAATAAGGTGACTCAACTTTGCAGTCCCGTTTTTTTATTGTCGTCATCGAAAAGTTGGCTCATAAGAGAAGCAGGCTAAATATAGACAAATCGGTGCCCGAGCCATCTAAATAATTATTTAATGGTTCGAACAAGTCACCGGAAATAGGGATGATAAGTGGCCTCCTGAATCAGTAATACAATTGTCTTTGACCAAAAAAGGTCAGCGACCCACTTCCTCATTGCGTATCGAACGCATTCCTGGAAGTATCTCTTTGTTCCGGAGAAATATTTCTAAAAAAAAAAATTAAATGACTAACACAAAGGATTCATATGGAGAGAAGGTTGGTTAGGGTGATCAGTCAGAAATAAGAAGACAAAAATAAATAATAATATTTATTTTAACATTTGCCGACTTTTCGACTTGAAGTTCAGGCCTTCACCAGGGCTCTTCTAATAGCTGAGTGGAATAGAGTTAAATCTAATAGAGAGTTAGCTGGAATAGAGTTAACTCTAATAGAGAGTTAACTGGAATAGAGATAACTCTATTCCACTCAGCTATTGGAAGAGCCCTGAAGAAGGCCCGAACTTCAGTTCGAAACGTCGGCAAATGTTAAAATAAATATTATTATTTATTTTTCCCTTGTTCTTTCTGACTGATCGCTCCAATCATCCTTCTCTTCATTATTCACGAGGTAATTTTAACTTATTTGAATCATTTAATAATAATAATGTTATAAAATAATTAAAGGTGGACATGACAAAAATAAATTTTTTTTATTATGAATAGACGCATGCAATTCGCATAAGTGAAAAGGACAGGTAAATGATTGGCATTTTAGGTATATAAAAAGAATCTATATATGTTGAAGTATGTAATGTTTTAAATATGATTGTAAATTGTAAAAAAAAATGTTTACACTTGAAAAAAAAGCCGAAACGTCGTAATTAGATGTGAGGTCATTAAGTTGACAAAATTTTGAAAATTGATGTAAAATGGCTGATAATAAATATACTTGAAAAAAATAATAAATATTATTATTTATTTTTGCCTTGTTCTTTCTGACTGATCACCCCAATCATCCTTCTCTTCTTTATTCACGACAGTCAACCATTAACTCACAATTACAAAGGATTTATATTTTCTATTTGCAGTATTGTGATAGGCCCATTGTGCTGCGACTTAAAGGATTTTATAAACAAGAAAAATTGTAAAAAAATAATTAATTTCATGCTAGTTATAAAATAAATTAGTGAAGTTAATTATAAACTGAATGGCTGAATAAAATACATAAGTAATGTACAATGTCCTTCACATGCATCTTATTTTCTCATCTATTATTATCAGAAATTTTTAGATTCTATTACATTCTAAACCGTTTGATGTTATATATTACTTCACTTATTATTATTATTTATACGAAAGATCTTTCATTATTCGATCTTCATCCCTATGGCACTCCATTTCTCCCAACATCCGTTGCTTCAATACTTTTCCCATCTTTAAATCCCGCCTGATCAATCACTTCATATATTTTCAGTCTCCATATAATTGTAAATAGATGTGTGTGTACAAAAATGTATATACATTTTTAGTTCGTTTGAATTATTTTCTTAATTGGTTAAAGTTAGAAATAATTGATTTTTTTTTATTGTCTATTTGTTTATATTTTGATCCTTCTTATACATCTCTGAGCCACAAAAGCTCTCATTCTTTTCTTTGTAAATTATTCTAAAAGGACTTGTCCCAGAATTTTTTTTCCTTTTTCAAATATCAAATTTTTTCATAGTTAATTCTTTTTTCCCATTTTGTGTTGCTCCTAACAATAAGATATCTTTAATTATTTATTATTAATAAAATTGAAAGCTATTTTACTAAGTCGGTACTTAAAATCCGTTAAATTTTTGTAATGAGTTAACATTCATATGATATTAAAGACCACTAAATTATTCATCGGCATAACGACTTTAATCAAAATCAAAATCATTATCTTAAAGAAAAACGTAAAAATCGGTTACATAAAATGTTACTAAACAGATTTTAGTGAAAGAATTGATGTGAATCCAAGACATTTAGGGACCATAAATGTTTCAGTTTTTACGATTATTTATTTTTGGGCTAGATTGTTCACAAAAACCATAACACAAAAAAGGCCATTTTGATTATTTAGGCTTAAGGACTTCAAGACGTGTATTTTATTTCGAAACCTTTTATGATCGCATTGAAAGTAAATATTTATATTTATTTTTTATTTTTTTTTATTAACGAAATTTACAACTCTAATTAATAATAAATACAACAAGTAAATATGAACAAGTAATATGACATGTACAACATGAGGAGAAACTACCCATTGGTAGCACTCCAATTATATTTCTATATTAGAAGGTCCCGAGGCCATCTTTTTTTCGGAGGGTTATCAGGAATAGATGAGGAAGCAAGGTTGGAAACGAGAGGGTTCGGATGGTTCAGAAGTTTATTATGAAAGGACAGGTATCTGGATTGAGCTAAAAAGGAAACATATGGTACATTAAGGTCATTATGGATGATTTTATTTGTGACAAAGTAGAGAGCATTAAGGATTTTACGAAGGATTTTGGATTGTAGGGATTGGATACAAGAGGAATTTGATGGTTTAGTAGAACCCTAAAGCTCGATTCCGTAAGTCCAAATAGGCCTTATTATAGTAATATATATGAGTCTTTTGTAAATAGTTGGCAGTTTAGAGCGTTTGTCTAGTAAGTGCTGGAGTAGTCGGAAACGTCGAGCGGTTTCTAGTCGTTTTAGTCTAGTATGGGGGTTCCAAGGGAGTCGTTTGTCAAGGTGGAGTCCTAGGTATCGGATTTGGTCAACAGATATAAGTGGGGCATTGTTAAAGGATACTGTAGGACATGAAGTCATAGGTTTACGACGAAGGAAAGTAAATCTAGATTAAAACAAAAACGTCCTTCTAGATTATTCTTCTACAGATGTTTGTTATGATTTCTAATATATAATTGGAAGATTGCAAAAAAAAAGTTTTATTGTTTCATAGAATGGTAAATAACTAATCATCCACAAAGGAGATTGTCAACAAAAAAAACTTTTAGATACTTGCGTGTATCACGCCCATCTTTCTTTCCAATGAGGAATCCAAACAAGATACAATAGTTACACCCGGAGGACATCCTGTTGCCCCGAGCGATCCTCAACTTCTTGAAGCGGAAGATAAAGAAGGCCACCTGTTGAGGATATAATTGCTTCAAGTAGAGGTCACATGCGCAGTTATCGATTTTCACAGGAGAAGAATAAGACGGACTGAGTCGAGTGTCGGACACCGCAGGGCCACATCAACCAGGTAACTTAATTCGATTTAATTAATCTCGATGAACAAATCGACACTTATTGTAATGCCATTAACGTGCCTCGTTGCTTCCAAATCGATTCGAGATGGCCTGGGTCGATTCGTGACGCAGAGCTCTTTGTGCGTGTTGGTGTAGCTCAATGGAGGAGAGTGCTTCTTTGATAGGTGTTTTCCCAATGATGGGTCTGTTATGGCACTTAGATTAAATTGTTTTTCCCAATCATTCAAAACACTCTGAATTAAATTAATATCGATTAGCCAAGAATAGGCTGAGAGGTCAAACAATCGATTTCTAGATAAACACGTTACCTTTGCCAAGGTCATTGTTGCTTCTGTGGTTTGAATTTCTTTAAAATTGTTGCAATACTCTTAATTTAATGTATGATTACATGCTATTTATCTTATAGCTTCTAGCTTCGCATTTTTCTATCATTTTGTAAGGGTAACATGTGAAAAATTGTTTAAATGTTTCATTAATAGACTCAGAAAATTGAAATAATGTTACTTTGAAACTATTAAACTGCTGAATTTTATTTTGAATTTACTTAATGTAGCTGCAATACTTCAAATCTACCGACCAATCACTATGGAGTACTTCTTACCGAAGCTCAAACCTGGTCCAAATCTGACTAAAAAAAAATCCGCTTACTACCTCTTCAAAAGTTTTAATGCATTTGCATATATTTTCAATCCAAATCTGCTTGAAGTCCTAATTTTTAATCCTATGGCCATGATAGAATATTCCACTTCAAATGATCTTTCAACATTAAGCATTTCATCCTTCAGAAATATCTATTATTATGCACAGATTACCTTCCCACAAGACTCAGAATTAATCGACTCAGATAATTGAAACTATTAAACTGCTGAATTTTATTTTGAATTTACTTAATGTAACTGAAATCTATCGACCAATCAAATGGAGGACCACTTTAAATCTCTGGAAATTTGATGATTATAACAATTCACTTCTAACCGAAGCTCAAACCTGGTCCAAATCTGAAAAAAAAATCTAAATATTTACTCCCTACCTCTTCAAAAACTCTAAACCATTTGCTGATATTTTTAATCCTATTACCAAGATATGATATTCCACTTCAAATGATTTTTCAACATTAAGCATTTCATCCTTCAGAAACATCCATTATTATTCACAGATTACCTACTCACAAAGTTTCAAGACACGACCTAATTACATGTTAAAACTCAGATCTTAAAATTGCTTAATCGGAAAGCCATTTTATTCCTTACTCACTAATATAACGTTGTCTATCTAATGCCAAAATGATACAGAAACCCAAAAATCTACCACAATACCCATTATCGTTTTATCTTTCTCATTATGGACAAAATCCCGGAAAAATTCATCTCAAAACTCATACACCCCATTGTAGAATCTAATCAAATAATCCCAGATCATCAATTTAGTTTCCACATATGTCATTCCAATTACCAGCTATGCCATCGTGTGATGGATGCTGTACCCTCTGTATTTGAGTTTGGAATGTATTGTAAGGTAGCTTTCTCGAAGGACCACTGGGTTTTGATGAGTCTGGGGCTGCTATAAAAGTATTTCCTACAACTACATTCTTTCTCATTATCTGTTCTATCTTACTAACAGATACTTCAAAGTAAATAACAATACTGCCTATTTATCTTTCTTTCTCAGTTTCCTGGTGTTCCTCAAGGTAATATCCCTATCCTTCACACAATTGCTACAGCTGCCGTCTCAACTCATCCTAACACTGAAATCACTACATATTCCCATGATGCATATACCCTACCAGTTAATAATAACTCTTCAATGGAATCCTGAACTCTCCAATTACACATCACAACTTCAAGAAGAATAAACTACAGAATTAAAATAAATTCTAACAAATCCGCCTAAATCACTTTTACCCTTCCTCATAAACCCATGACTTCCTGTCCAATAATTCTTTAATAATACCCACATATACCTGTTGTACAAATATGATACCTAGGACTCCACCTAGAGAAACGTCAAACTTGGAATTCTTAAATAAAACTAAAACGATAAGATACAATATGATATTTCCGTCTACTTCAGCGCTTACCAGACAACTGCTCTATGCTTCCCATTAACTACAAAAACTCATATACATGACTATAATAAAACCTGTTTGGAGTCGAACTTTGGGGCTCCACTTTATCCATGAATTTATCTCGTATTGAACCTTACAATTTTTCGTAAAATCCTTAATGTTCCTTACTTTGTCCCAAATAAAATTATCCATTAATACCTAAGTGCTTTATATGTTGTCAATTTGGGCCAATCCAAATACATTTCCTTCCATAACAAACTTCATAACCATCCAAACTTCTTTCTATCTAACCTCGCTCATACTTTATCTCCCATAACCTTCAAGCCGTATGAAAAAGAAAAAAAAAATGGTCTCGTGACCTGCTAATTAGAGAGATAGATAAGTAGTTTTTCTACAAACCTTTTCATGTCATTATAATTTCATTGTTCACATTTAGCAGTTATATTTTTATTAAATACAGTTGTAAATTTTACGAAAGAAAATAAAGAAAAATGTATATTAAATAAATTATTTTTGCTGTATCTTTTTTTTAAACACCTTTATATAACACCTTATCAATTTTTTTGTACAAAAAAAAAGATATTCACACACGTATGTCTATTGATCAATACACTAATTATGATTTTTGACAATGTTTCCTAAATTCCCTTGTAGTTGCGTCATTGTATTTCAAACTAATTTGAACCGCAATATTTTGGAATTTGGCCATTTTTTTGTCATCTTTTTGAAATTTGGCACATGTGTACCATAGGAAATACGTAAATTTTACTTTTTTTATACAACTGTAAAAATGTTATAAATAGGCCAACAAAACAGGTATCGGAATGTTTTGAAATTGCTATACAACGCATATTTAAAACGGAATAACAATCAACAAGAAAATAAAAAGTGTCTCTTATTACAAATCGATTTGAAATGTTCATAATCAATTATTCGATTAGTTCCAAAAATATAATGCTCATCGCAATATCAATGACAGAGGCTAATATTGCGTGTTTAATATCTTGCCTGAGTCTATTTAGTTCGTGAACGACGCAGATATTTATTAAATCAGTTTGTCACTAGAAATGCTCTCCCATAGAGGTTAAATGTCATAGGTGTGATGTGTCTTCTTAATCGATTCTTGATGATGTTTTGAAGGACGATCTGGGTTAGCGAAAGATACGTATCGACTATTTGACCAGAAAGATGAAGAACCATCTTAGGTATGTATTTTTTCCCTTTTTTTATTTTTTGTTTATGTTTCGCCAATGAGGGCATCTTCAGGACAGAAAACATAAAAGAAACCTAAGATCACATCTCTCCATGACATCCAAAAGCATATGGAAAGAAACGTGAGGTAACACAGCTGACGAAGGTTATAATCAAACAACTGATCATAAAAATCGAAACAAATGAAAAACATGTACTTACTAACCAAAATACATAAATATGCCACAAAAAATACAAACAATAAGAAGAAAAGAAATAATAATAAGTACAAATGAAAAAAGAAGAATAAAAAATGCAGATAAAATTAACATTATCGTCATAAACAGCTGATCATGCTGATAAAGTTAAAAAAGTAAATTAGGAAGACTTTTTAGACATATCAAAGAGATGAAATGTTTCAGAGTAAAAGTTATTCAAATTTATTTGTCGTTTGTATTAATTATTATTTGTTTTATATGAATTGCTGTTCCTTAAAGAGCTATATTTATAATTTTTGTTTTTATAACTGTAGTCTACACCATAGGCATAGAATTTTCATTTTGATTGGGAGAGGAAAAAAAAAAATGGCAGTAGATTATATTATTTGTACAAATTCAACATAATTATTGTGAAACGAATAAATTTAATACTATCTAAAAATAAATTTATATATATGTTCAGACAGTTTTAAGATTTTGATTTATTATTTATAAATTAATGTCAAATATTAGATTTGATAGTTTCGCAATAATGATGTTGAATTTTTACAAATAATATGAAATAATCCCATTTTAACTATCTATTTATTTTTTATTTATTAAGAAATATTACAATCTGTCTCAAGGACATTTATAATAGTGTTCAGAGATCACATTCATACTCTATGTACAATAAATAAAATAAATTATACAGAAAAATTATATATATACAATAAATAAGAATAAAAGAACCTAAAAATAAATAAATAAAAAGAACACATACATACCTATGTACAATATTTACAATCTGGCAAGAGAACTCCAAACCAGACTTGTCCCATCAACTGTTGAGGGAAAAGCATGACTCCAGCAGATCCCTGCACTTCTCTCTCAACCGCTTCACTGGGGCTAAACCCAGTGGAGATTGAGCTAGAGTGCTTTAGCCGCATATACTCATGTCGTGAGTGGAGAATCTGGTCATTGCCAGAACTCCAATATTTACAAACTATAAAAGGTCGCGGGACCACTGCCGTTTTTATTTAATTATTATGCTTTTTTGTCCATCGCCTCCTCCCTCCAATCAAAATGGATATTAAAGTATATGGACTATGCTGTGGACTATAGTAATAAAAACAAAAATTATAAATACATTTCTTTTGTGTATTTTTTGATATACCCGAAAATATCTGAACAAAATAATTAGATGTTTTATAATTTGAATACACAGGGGGACATCTTCCATAACATACGTATATTTCTAGAACGTTTGATTTCTTAGCTTGTACAACCTCCAAATAAAAGTAAAACGTTTTCATAGTCTGACTTATTTACTTACTTACTGCATGGCGTTTCGGCCCATCAAGAACCAAAGCCTCCTCCAATGTCCTGCTACATTTTACTTTATCCTTCGATCTTGTTGGCCATCGCCTGATGTTCAGCTGGCGGAGGTCCTCTTCCACGTTGTCCAGCGTTTACGAGGCTTACCTCTCCTTCGTGAGCCACCAGGATGACCGTACAGCATTTGCCTAGGCAATCTCGATGTAGGCATCCTTTCGACATGTCCAACCCAGCACAATCTTCATTTCTTTATGACATTACTATGTCCGCTTCTGGAAATAATTCTTTCAGCTCGGAATTCGTTCTCGCTCTAAACCCATCGTCCTCTCGCACATGGGCCAAATATCCTTCTTAGAACTCGTCTCTCCCATGTGCTTAGCCTTTTCTCGTTAGCTGTTATCGCAACCCAAGTTTCACTGCTGTAAGTTACTGTGGGCCTAATTATAGTCATATGAAGCAATACCTTAGCTTTTCTTGAGAGATTTTTATAAACTAGGGCAGAGCGTATAGCATGTAGACACCTCTTCCCAGCAGCAACTCGAGCCTTTGTGTCCTCTGTTGTTTCGTTTTCTCTCGTGACAGTCTGACTAGTTATGTAAAAATGTCTATAAAAACATTATCAATAAAATATATTTATACTTGTAAATATTTTATTTATTATTTCTTAATGATATTTACAACTGTAATAAAGAAATACATTAAGTAAATTTGAACATGTGGATATAATGACGTGAAAACACTTGTTGAGTAACTACCTAATGGTAACACTCTAATCATATGTGTACATTAGGAGATCACGAAGTGATTTTCTTTTCAGACGCCTTGGAGGGTTATCAGGAATTGAAGACGAAGCAAGGTTAGAAACGAAAGGTTTGGGATGATCCTGAAGTTTATTATAGAAGGTTAGGTATCTGAATTGGGCCAGATCTGAAACATTAAGGAACATTAAGGTCATTATGGATGGTTTTATTTGTAACAAAGTAAGGAGCATTGAGGATTTTCCGACGAATTCTGGATTGTAAGGATTGGATACGAGAGGAATTCGATGGTTTAGTAGAGCCCCAAAGCTCAATCCCGTAAGTCCAAATAGGCCTTATTATAGTCATGTGTATGAGTCTTTTGTATTTAATTGGAAGTTTAGAGTGTTTGTCTAGTAAGTGCTGTAGTAATCGGAAACGTCGAGCGGTTTCTTGTCTTTTCAGTCTGATATGAGGATTTCAAGTTAGACGTTTGTCCAAGTGGAGTACTAGGTATCGGATTTTCTCAACAGGGATAAGTGGAGTATTGTTAAAGGAAACTTTATTTATTTATTTACTATATTTATACTTGTACTTGTAATATATTTTTCCTACTTTATGGCAGACAATTTATTTAAAAAATGCCGGAAATGAAGCATTTCCAAGAATTTTCATAAACAAAAAAGTTGCAGGTTACTATAAGATGAAGCCATTCACGAAGTTTTAGACAGTTGTTGATAATTTGATAATCTGTACCTAGAAGTGTGACTGTATGACTCTCTTAGGTCATATTTTATTTATAGTATAAATCATTGAATAGAAAAAACTTATGCAAACCTTACTCCTTATGTTAGTTTGCATAATATTTTCTTCCATGCCATATTGCAAAATGCCTCCAGTAAATTGCATCACAATAGTGCAACGTTCAGTTGTGACTACTTCATCTTCCACCAGTCACGGCTCAATGTCCTGGGAAAGATGTAGGCGTCCTTCGGAACGCTTCGATCTGACTGTATCTCCTTTGCCAGTTGGTAAATCCTATTTCCGTTACAGAACGGAAGCAGCTCACTGCAGTTCCGCTTTCTCCAGTCTCTATCTGAAACATCGATTAGGCTGTAAGCACTGATTGCTTCAGTGAAATAATTATCTGCATCTGTTTTGAATCCCAATATTACGAATATTTATAATACAAGCCAAAACCTAAAATAATTGGTAACATTGTTATATTCGTCCAAGATCCATGTTGAAATTTAATGTCTTATTTGAAGAAAAATGTATATACTTTAAGTTGTAATGCCAATTCTCAGCATTCAATTTCTGATAATATGACAACTCAAAGGGGAGGAAGTTGAAAATGGCGCCCATTGAAAGAGAGGAAGTAAAAACATGAATTCTTCAGATGCCAACAAAATGTAGTCTGCCGAAGATAAAAGGCGGTGTCGAATCGGCAGACGAAATTCAAAATCCAATGTTTTATTGAATTTTGCAAATCTCAAGAAGTTATTCCTACGGTGATAAGTATCTAAAGTACTCTGTAGTACTTACATTTCTGTTTGAGTCCTGGTAGAGTCTTCATGTTCAATGGTTTTCCAGAAATGGTCTTGAAAACCAACAACATGGTCTTTAAAAAAACAACAAAATAATCACAAATTTTGTGACTTTATTAAAAATAATGATCGTGAAAAGGTAAACATCGTGGAAACTCCGAGCAAGATAAATATCATAAACCTCTTTTTAGTATGGTATATCAGATTCGATCTAAGCCCTTATTCAGTTTTTACGTTTGACAATTCCAGAAAAAGGGCTTTTTAAAAATCGTGTTTAAAAAAAAAACACGATAACTCACCATTTTGGATTTTATTTTAGCAAATATTATGGAAAGTTTCGGTTATATAGTTAGTGGTTAAAAAATAAATAATATTTTCTATTTAATATTTAATAGTTGACCGTTGCTTTATAAAGGAAGGAAATGGTCCGGGGTGGCGGTCATAAATAGGCTAAATAGTGGTAAAACTATTTTATTAAAAGCCAACATTTCGACCCGACTTTGCACTGAACACAGTTCTAAGTGAAACTCCTAGCTGAACACACCTCCCTGAAGAAGACCTGCACAGTCGGGTCGAAACGTTGGCTTTTAATAAAATAGTTTCCAACTATTTAGCCTATTTATGACCGCCACCCCGGACCATCTCCTTCCTTTATATTATATTTATTATTTATTAATATTCAAAAATAAATAATATTTATATAATAGACAGTGGAGGTAAGAAAATATTGTATTCTCTGAATCGAAAATTTCAGCTAGTTTTTTATGTTTTGGAAAACAAGGAAAAAATTGATTCTTTGGCTAACGGTAGTCTTGACGAACATCACCTATTGCGATTAAACCGATTTTCATGAAATTTTATGGATAGTCTCTTATCGACTTCATCAAATTCTACTACAAAAAGCCTATTTATTTAGATGGTGCAGAATTGTTTGGTAAACACGAGGTTCATAATTTAATATTTAATCCATAATATGTACATATTTTTTAGGCAAGATAAATTTCTTGAAGAATAAGAAAATAAGCTTTCAAGGAGAGAAAAAAAATTAAATAAAATTATTACTGAAAAAATATGTCCAAACGTAAATGAGCACAAGTTGCTGAATGAAGCAGGTCTCTTGGGCAGCGCAACATTAGTCATGGGGTTGTGGAAGTGGATAGAGATAAAATGAGTGGATATGAATTTGGAGTGAATATTATTAAAAAGTTCTGTAGCTGTTGCTGTGATGAAAGGAATAACAGAATCAGTGTGAAAGAGACGGAAATTGGGGCATCTACAATCTTCCTAAGAATTCATATATATAAGTGTAATTTTTTTGCCGTTCTCCATAACTTAATGGTATATGATCATACGTGGTTTAATAAGAACTATATAAATTGCTAATTTATTAATTAGTAATAATTTAGAACGTTTGTCAAGTAGCTTAGAAAAAAGTCTATACGATTAGTTTTAAGCATGGTTTGTCCTTAAAATTTAGCGTATTTAACAAAATGATTAATTGAAAGATTTTTATATATTTTTTTATTAAGAATTTGTCAGTCAAATTTTTAGGACTGTTGTCTCTATTTGACTTCTCATAAGATGTAACATTTTCTTATACTAAAGCATGGTACTGAATTATAAATGAAATCAATAGTTCGACCTTCATTAAATAATAAATAGATAAGTTTAATAGAGTCAGGGAAAAGGGCATATAAAGCTGTTACCCTGACGACTCTTTCAAAGCCCTAACAAAAGTTCGATAGTGCAACAGCTCGACTAATCGATATGTAAATAGCGTTTCGCGTGAACTTACTTAACATCGTCGACCTTGTCTCTCTTCTTCCAGCTGGAACTAGCACCTCCTCATTGAGAATTATTAATAGTTATTTTGAATCTTTATTTAAGTTTAATAGATTTTACCATTTTTTGTTTACAGAAAATTGTCCGCCATTGCAAAGAGGTAAACTAAACTAAAGAAACTTTCGAGGTAGCTATTAGTAACCAGAGGCAGAGGTGCCCAGAAAGAGTTTTCATGGCTCTGGAAGTTGTGCTATCGAAATATTTGAAATGGAAGCATATTTTGGGGGATTTCATAAGCGAATTGAAACAACTAAAATTATATTTTTTATAATTTAAATTTTAAATCTTGTTCCGACTGCTCTAACACATATTAGACAAACGCTCTAAACTTTCAATTAATTACAAAAGACTCATCTACTTAACCATAATAAGACCTATATGGACATACGGAGTTGAGCTTTGGGGCTCTACCAAACCATCGAATTCCTATTGTATCCAATCCAAAATCCTTCGTAAAATCCTTAATGCTCCATATTTTGTAATAAATAAAATCATTCATAAAGACCTTAATTTCATATGCTGCTGATTTAGTCGGAGTCAGATACCTATCATTTCATGGTAAACTCCAGTCCCATCCGAGTCCACTTGTTTCCAGCCTCGCCCTCGCTTCTTCATCGATTTCTGATAATCCCCTTAGACGTCTGAAAAGAAGATCTTCTTACCTAGAATTAAATAGGGAGTATCTCTTCAAGTCTGTTCATGTCATGATTTATAATGTGTGCATTTTTACTAGTTGTATTGTTTATACAGCTGTAAATTTCATCAAATAAAAAAAAATTAAATTTTTAAGAAGAAAACAATACGTTTTTTTTTGTAGAGGTGATACCATCGTCCTGGAAGGTGATTTAACCTGATAAACTGAAGATTGGGAATTCCTATATCGGTGTCGGGGGACTTTCAACTCTGGCATAATTCCTTCACCCTCTCCTCTGGCCTGAGGAAATCCCGTTTAGCCTAAAAGGCGAGAAAGGGGAGAAAAAGAAAAGACATCGCCCTTGACGGAGAATGGCATCCCTGATCAGACGTGAAATAAACTTTTTGTTTGCTAAGCTGAACGTTCAAGCACATTGGGACTGCCTTTTTATGGACCTAGTTTGTTTGATTCCCATCTGGTTCAGTCATGGTCAACATTTATTTCACAGATATTCCGAAGTATAAGATAATATATATATATATATATATATATATATATATATATATATATATATATATATATATATGTATATATATCTTCGATATTCTTTACTATCATAAATACTTATTTTTTTTCGTTCGTGGATCTTTTGTCCCCTAACCAGTATTTTCTATGTAGGCACAATTAGCAATGGATCGGGTTTTTTTTTCTTAGTTTTTTATTTTCCATTCATAACTTATTAATAATAAATTATAAGTTATAAATAAATCGGAGGTGTGGCATGTTACATCTGTCAAAAACAATCCTTAAATATCCCTTCAACTCTGTGCTGAATGGTGTGGGTCATAAAAAAATATATATATATTTACTAAAGGAAAAAAAATGAGAAAATAAAGTCGGACGTCATTTCATATTTTAGATTAAAATATTTTTAAAACCAATAACTTAAAAAAAATGTTGAAATGTTCGTTAAAAAAAAATGAAATTCTAAATATAGCCTGCTGATTGGAGGACTTCAAAACATTCTCTTGAAAATTCAGCATAAAAACATTTAATATAGATTGCTGCTGATATGATCGAATAACCGTTAATAATAACCAAATTTATCAGTTTCTATTCCGTTGATTAAAAAAACAAAAAAATAAAATAAACATATTCTATTGTTTTTGTCTTTCCTAATTTCTTAGTCATTCTTCTTTCCAGTTATCAAGATATTAAAATAAATGTTATAAATAAATTAAAATTAGGTTCAAAATAGTTGTGAAGCATTGAAAAACTTTGATGGAAAACATTTTGATTAGAAGATAAGGCAAAGTACCATTCGTTGTTAAAAGATAAACGGAACCAATAAAAGCTATTATTATCAGCTGTTGTCTGTTTAATATTTGGTATTTCGCCATTTCTCATTATAGTATTAATTAACCTAATATAAAAAGTTCTACTTTTTTTTTGTTTTAAACAGTATATATTTTTTTACATGTACCTTAGAATTTTGTACCATTCTATATTTTTTAATGTGAAAACATTATAATGTTATCGCGTTATAACACTACACTATATGCATACATATACAATATAAATAAAGTATGATGATTATATAAAATAACCCGATTTGATGTTACTTCATGGAAGGTTAGTTTGCAATGAAGTATAAAGAGACAATTTCTAAAAAAAAAGTAAATAACACTTTTTTAAAATTATTTTTTTTTTTTGAAATTCTTTTTTTTATACAATTTAAATACTTGTTGATATATGCATATAAACACTTGTATATATACAAGACACACGATAATCATCGTCGTCTTAATCATGGCAATATCGGCTTTGTTTTTGTATTTCCAATTTGTATTTTTCCAATTATATCTTAAAGACATAAAAATAATTAAGTTTAACAAGTGAAAAGACCTCTTACAATTTATCCTTATCATGGATAGAAAACAATCATTAACTATTTCATCTTCTGAATAGTTGAGTAGCCTGACAGGTACCAAGAATCGACAGATCAGTTAAATCGATTTCGGATCTGAATAATATATCGATGGGAAGCTTCCCTTTTGAGAATTTTTTTTTGAGTTATTTAAGCCATTAGATGCATATGCGAATTCGCGATAATTCAAAATCAAATATTTATGTTGTCATGGAATGAGTTCATACATATATATCATGGAAAGGCATAAATAATATCTAATACATAAGCGTCTAGGATCAGACACCTTAAATATATTTAAATATTTATTGTTATTATTTAAACTATAATATTTAATATTGAAAGTGGGTTAAGTAGTAATAAACAGGATATTTCAGTGGAAAGATAAGAGTTTAACTTAATATAAAAATTATTTATACATCTGTTCCATATTACTGTATTTAGTACACTTTTTATTTAACATAAAATACTTGACATAAATAGAAATTGATATGTCAGAGCAATAATGTAAAAAAAAATTTGATTTAAATAAACTAAATAGGTTTATATTAAATAATAAGTGTTTTGTGCAAAATAATTATTTCACGCAATGTTACTATTTGAAGTATAATTATTTCATAAAATAAATATTGTAAAAATATTCGCGGTAGATACCAATATAATGTTCAAAATCCACGTCTGGTAATTTTTATTGTAAACATTATATTGTTTGGTTATTGAATAATTTATTAACTATTTCATAACGATCTTTTATAACAAAACATAAATGTATAAAGTTATATGTGTGTACTAATAAAAAATATTTAATTTTTTTTTAAATTAGCTATTAAACTGATTATATGTTTGTAATTTGGTCAGCATAGACAATTAGATATTATTATCAACCTGGGTTGATAGTAAATCGAACAAAAATGAAATAGATAAAAAGTTGTGGTAATCGCTCTAAACGATTCCGAGTTGCGAAATGGGCTAAAATTACTTGCAATTGTTTCAAATGTCGTAACAACTATGTATATATATAAAAACCGATGTTTCAGCTGTCTTAGGATTCAATAGTAATACCTAATTCGGCCCAGTACATACTGTTAGGTTTAAACAAAAAATACCGGCAAACCAGCTCTAAATATAAAAAATATAGTTTTCATTTCTTCTCCTATTATCTCACTTCAGGGCATTATTAATACGATAATTAAGTTAAAAATTACTGAATATGAAGTGAAAACGATATTAGTTGGTCAATAATGCAGTAAAACTTCCTTGTTTTTTTTTTTGTTTTTATTTCCTTTTATCCCTAATGTCCAACCATCGCGTAAGGTCGCCTCAGTGTGCTGCGGCTTGAATACAAAGCTTTCCTAGCATCGCAAGTTTACGTTCTCTTTATTTTCATTTATTATCATGTTGTGAATCTTAAATATTTGTTGCTGATTGTATTAAAAATCTTTGTTTCTATTAACTAATTTGATTACTTCCAAGTTAATATTGAATCTTTAAATGGGATTTCATTCTGGCTCAAGATAATTATCAATACAATTTTTTTTTTCAGTTTCAGATTGAAAAATGTAACGTCCTAAGAACCATAATGCATGGATTCTTCCCATGGCGACCTGAGTCTCAAAGAGCCACTTCGACAGCTTACTTCAGAAGCTTGTCTCCACTAGAGGTATGGTGAGAGTGATTAGTAATATAAATCATTATTAATGTTATTGGTTATTATTATTGTCAAAATATAGGTTCTAACATCCGCCGAAGACCATTTGTTTGGGCGCCATTTCATGTTCCGTTCCGACGTCACAACACTTTAATTGAGACCTGTTCACATAGTGATAGTTTTCTGTCATTGTAGTATTTCAGTATGGTAGTATTGGCAGTCTTTGTCCATTCGCTAGCAGTAAAACTGATGACAATCAGTTAAAATTATTGGGTACTTGAAGGGACAGACGCGTAAATTTGAAATGCAATAGAATTCAAGTGATAAAGAACGTATATAAGATTGAGATTGTACTAATACATATCTCATTTTTACATCATAAATCAATATATAAATCATTCATAATTGTTTTATCAAATTTATCTCGATTTATTTCAAACTAACCTTGCCGAATACATATGTTATTCCAGAATTCAAGAATAATGTTTATTAGGTTTGAAAGGAAAGTTATGAGAAAAACCATAACATATGACAGAAAGTGCTGGATGGACATATTTGACCCAATTTTGGATAGAAGCATACATGGAAAATGAGAAAACTTAATGTTTTTACTTCCTCTTACCTATACATGTATATATTATATATATATATTATTTACCTATATATTACGTATTTAAGACAGGATGCTTTAGATGTGACAGTAACTTTTCCCTTAAAATCGGCTAACTGGAAATGACACTTTATATCAATGGTGAAACACATTTTTCTCAAAAACGGCTCTAACGGCTTTGATTAAACTCGTGTATCATTGAATAACTAAGTGGTCTTGAATATCATTTAGGTCTTATTCCCATTGATGTCTCTTTATAGGGCTTAAATAGATGGAATAGGGCTGTCTGTATAGATACAACTTTTCCAACTAGAAATGTCAATAAAATGACATTACTCAAAAATGTTGAAATTGGGGTTTCATTCTGCCAATTAAAAGACTCAGAATCTGAAGTTGTTTGGTTTATAAAAGTACATGGAGTGACTAGATTTTTACTGCCTACCTTTGATGTAATAGATAGACTTTTTGTAATTTTAATGGTCTTAATAATTTGTTATCTGTATGCTTTAAGCTTAAGCTCTTTTTAAATGACCTTAAAATTTTTTATAATAGCCCAACATTACTAGAATGTAATTTTTATTCAAAGTAGAGTGGTATGTGAAAGTTGTATGTTGCGCGCACCAGATTGTTTTCTTTCATTTTATGATGAACTAATGCACACATTTACTAGTGGACTATAGCTGAAAAACATGTTTTTCGGTTAAATGTAGCTCCAAAACGGTCCTAACAATTTTTTTTAAACTAATCTCCAGTATCTTCCTTAAATCCTTTTAACTTTTCATCTATACTTATATTCATAGTTTCTCCTTTTCCTGTAACATCTTTAAATTTCAAAGGAGTGTCGTGGTTGTTTTTAATTCTTCTGTTACTCTAAAGTACCGATGGCATAGAGATGAATTCGAGACGCGTATTGCTGGAGTATGAATAATCTTAATCCTACTAATCTCCATGAATCGTTATTGGTAAAGAAGAGGGAAGTATATCGTAGGTGATAATAGGTAAATATACAAGATGTCGCAGTTCTCAACGGCCAAACTGAATATATTCTAGACTAAATTTCTGCAAAAAAAAGTTCATTTGATGGATAGTCCGATTTTTTTTTTTTTTTTTAAGGTTGTCACGATTTTTATTTAATAAGAACTAATTTTTCAAAAATGTTAAAGATAATTAAATTGATATATATATACCTAAATTGAAATATATATATGATATTTTATGTTTCTTCTCCAGAAGAACTTCTCTGCAAAGTTCGGTTACGAAACATCCGCTAACACGTTTCGAAAACACGATGGAAAGTCTACATTCGAAGAATCGAGAAAAAGAATCCTTGATAACGAAACAGGATACAGCAATAACAGCTGTGAAATAGTACCTCAAAAGAATACCGACTGTTCGTTTTATCGCATTCCCATGTCGGATTACACGGATATTTACTTGAGATAAAAAGTGAGAAAAAAAGCATGAAAATATAATAATCCTCGCTTGGGTCAGTAAGAAAACAGAATATTTATATCTGGCCATGTTATATAAATAGCACGAATAAGGAGGAAAATGTGCAGAGTGACCCATTTAAAACAATGTAACAGCAAATTTCATTCATCTCAATAAATATGAATAAAATTAAAATGTCATTTCCTTGAGAATTAAATATAGATATCATGTTTAAACGCAGTATATACCTAATATACCGTTAATGAAAAAAAAATCATAAAGCGAACCAAACGCTATTATGGATAAACATAAATCGCGTTTCTATTACTTTTTGTTCCAAAAAAAAAAATAATAATAATTTTTCATATTGTTTGGTTTTTAAACAATATACCCAAAAATATTCTATGGATAAAAATTAGTAGCAGGATTTGAATCACAGCTTAAATATTTAGATAAGAATTAATAGTACTCAATTTTATAACTTTCAATTTAAATACATGAAATATTTCTTAAGAGAAATTATTGCGTTCGTGTAAAATTTCGAATCCGATATCGCAAATTGGTCTTTGTATAAGAGGTAAAACATTTTATTATGATTTCGTACATATTTACTTATCATGAAATTCAATATTCACCCCTCCTCTATTCATCCAACGATCCATGTGAATATTTTATTGTCTTGAACAGTGCTAGAAGTCATCTTCTGTTTTAAAACGCTTTTAGCTTTCTCCTTCACAGCAAAAAAAGTTCGAATGAGTAATTCAAAAATCGAAGCAATGGTGATTTTTATTTTCGATTGTGCGCATTCACTAGGTTCCTGAAGGCCAATCTATTAATCAACATTACTACATTTACGCTTCCTGAAGGAACTGAGAGATGAAGACTTCCAGCACAGTTTCAGACAATGGAAGATCTCCATGAACCGTTATTGGTATAGAAAAGGGGAGTCTATTGAAGGCGATGATAGGTAAATATACAGGATGTCGCAGTTCTCAACGACCAAACTCTGGATATATTCTAGACTAAATTTCCACAAAAAAAGTTCATTTTATGGATAGTCCGATTCCGATCAAAAAAGGAGTTAACAATTTTATAATGTGGTCACGATTTTTAATGAATAAGAAGGAATTACTCAAAAAGTGTTTAAGATTATTAAATTATAAGTACACCATCGTAAAGTGGACAATTTTTTTTTTTTGAGAAAACAATGATTAAATTTACTATGCCTGGTGTAAATGTGTTCATATGTCACTATAATTATTGTCGACGTGACAGATTATTATATTTCTAAATAAAAAAGAATCTTAGCTAGCTTTAAAAAAATAATGATGTCACGGATATTAATAGCATTTTATTATTCAATATCAAAATTTGTATACAGTGTATGAATTGAGTCGTATATTTCCAAAGTGTACTCTTATTATTATTGAATTTTTTTTAGAAAACGCGAAAAACTATATTTCCTATTATAATTGTAAAAAACAAAAAAAAAAAAATGATAAAATGGGCTTTCAGGAAATCTAATTCGGCCGCTTTTGTGGTGCAATTACAGTACCGATACCCGAGCAATATATCTCTGTAATCCCGATTCGTGAAATAATGGTAAACTTTGCGTCATGATAGCTCCTGAAAGTCACTTTTCACTATTTTCTTAAAAAAAAAATTCTCTACTTTACGATAGTGTACTTAGAAATTAATTATCTTGAACAGTTTTTCAGCAATTTCTTGTTATTCAATAAAAAACGTGACCACCTTAAGAAAAACACAAAATTGGTCTTAACTCCTTTTCCTTTCGGAATTGGCTCATACGTCAAATGAACTTTTCCTTTCAATTTTTTTTCTAAACCTAGACCCCCCCTCCCGTTTACATAGTTTTACTATGTAATACAATCCTTACTTATAATTAAATACATTCATGTATTTCCAAATTCCTCTTTGCATGTAAAGCTCAGGAACTGAGGTAATCTGATTTTTATTGCCTACTTTCGGTATCATAAATACGGTTTGTGTTATTTTAATGGCTTTAATGAGTTGCTACAGGTTAGCTATAAGGTCAAACGTTTAGCTTCGTTAAAAATACACTTCAAGAACTATGTAATAGTCAACTTCCTCAGAAAATAATTTCTCTTCAAATTAGAGGGTAAGTAAAAGTTGGTGATCCCCGCACCATATTTTTTTGTATTTTAAAAACAGGATACTGTTATAAATGCTGGTGGATCTGCATGGAATAGGAATATTTCTTTCTGGTTGAAGTTCTCCAAAAATGGAGAAATAATATTTCTTATTATTGGTCTTTTTGACTTATTTTGACGTGTTATCTAAGCTGAATAATTAAACATCACAATTTATCATATTTTTAGATTAAACATTAGTGTTCCTGTAATTAATAAATGATTTAAACATAATTTTATATATGACCACCAACATCCTTCCTGCCGCTTGATGCCAGAAATGGCGATGTAAAAGCTAAAAAGAAGAACATTCCGAATCCTGTTACGGAACTATTTCCTATGTATTCTAAACACCGCATGTGGGATATCTTTAATTATTTCAAAGGAATAAATAAGTCTAAATCATAAGTGCTAACACCTGAGGGAGAGTAACGACCCACTATTGAGTGCAACCTTTTGTAAGTGGCAATAAAACACTTAAGGACAGAGGCAAGAACACCAAAGGACCATCAACCGTCTTACGTGGGAGTGTTTAAGTAGTACACGGTGGGCCAGACCCCCTTACCGTGCACCCCCCTCACATCCCTATAAATTGCATATCGTTGTGTTCCTTGTAACAATTTATTAAAAAAAAGCCAATGTTCCCACAAAAAAAAGTGAACGCACTGCCCCAAAATGGCGTCCAAAGATGGCGGATTGACGACTTTGACTTTAGTTAGTTTTTTGGTCACTGAGAATCAGCATTAAGCTTAATTTCCTCATAGTTGGTCTTTTATTAAGCTGAATAGTTATAGAATAATAAAACATGAAGAAATAATAAAAAATAATTGGCTAAGGCTATGAAAAACATCAGTAAAGTCAATTTTTTTAACAAAAAAATTTTCAAGTTACAAATCAAGCGTCGTTTGTAATTAAACGGCCAACAATAACGCAAAACGTGCTGAAATAAACCATCTGGAGAATATATTTCTCTTTCTGAAACGCTGATTATTTTTTACAAATGTTTGAGTAGTTCCGTAAAAAATGCACTTATGCGGCAGAAAAGCGGTACTGGCGTGGGTGCCTACAGGCCTCTACCACACCATTCAGTGCCCATAAATGGCTTAGTTATAGTGATATAATAACATTTTTGGTACATTATATTGGTTTTATTAACGAACAAATATTAATGCAATAATTTAATAGTAAAAAAAAAAATTTAAATTAAAAAAAAAATTTATTATTATTTTTTTAAATTTTAACCTCCTTTATTCTATACGTAGGTCGTTTAAGAATACCTCAATTGTAAAAATGGTATAATTATAATAATAAAACTTAATTAAAAAATATTTTGCTAAATATCTTGATTTTTTTTTATTTAACGTTTGCAATTTAACACTGTGTTTTGAATATTTACTGATTCTTAGAAGTAATTAAAATTTTTATATACTTCCCAGGAAATGAGTCATATTCATACCTTTTTTATAAACTAAAATAATATGTACCTAATCTGAACTATATATAATGAATAGCTACCGGGTTGTTTAGTAAAACTCATATATCACTAATTAAAAAATTAATTTTTATTTCCTCTATTTTGTGCAGAAGTTGGACTATATCATAAAGAAATAGGAAATTTTAATATTGAATGAATTATTCTCTATGCACAAAGAAATATATAAAGGGTGACCCTATAAGTTCTTCTATAAACCAAAACTGATTGTTTGGATTTGATCTCAAAATGAGGAAAAACGTGAACTTAAACGAGAAAATTGGAAAAATACATTAAGCGAACGAGAAAGGAAGTGCCAAAACCTCGGAATAGATAAAAAGGACCAGTTATATCCATTATATAGCTAAATGAATGTATAGTAGATAGATGAACAGAATATTTCAAGATGCTGCTAAAACGGGATCAATTGCAGTATGGATGATATTAAGTTGACGATGTAGGTTTATTATGGTGAAAACCACTTTATTTTCGATTGCTGAAGGTGCACATCGGGACTATATTAACTTTGAAGATGAATATAGATATGTACATCGAGAAAGTTATAGCTCATAGCAGCTTTTAGCAGCATCTTGAAATATTCTGTTCATCTATCTACTATACATTCATTTAGCTAAATAATGGATACAGGTCCTTTTTATCTATTCCGAGGTTTTGGCACTTCCTTTCTCGTTCGTTTAATGTATTTTTCCAATTTTCTTGTTTAAGTTCACGTTTTTCCTCATTTTGAGATCAAATCCAAACAATCAGTTTTGGTTTATAGAAGAACTTATAGGGTCACCCTTTATATATTTCTTTGTGCATAGAGAATAATTCATTCAATATTAAAATTTCCTATTTATTTATGATATAGTCCAACTTCTGCACAAAATAGAGGAAATAAAAATTAATTTTTTAATTAGTGATATATGAGTTTTACTAAACAACCCGGTAGCTATTCATTATATATAGTTTAGATTAGGTATATATTATTTTAGTTTATAAAAAAGGTATGAATATGACTCATTTCCTGGGAAGTATATAAAAATTTTAATTACTTCTAAGAATCAGTAAATATTCAAAACACAGTGTTAAATTGCAAACGTTAAATAAAAAAAAATCAAGATATTTAGCAAAATATTTTTTAATTAAGTTTTATTATTATAATTATACCATTTTTACAATTGAGGTATTCTTAAACGACCTACGTATAGAATAAAGGAGGTTAAAATTTAAAAAAATAATAATAAATTTTTTTTTTACTATTAAATTATTGCATTAATATTTGTTCGTTAATAAAACCAATATAATGTACCAAAAATGTTATTATATCACTATAACTAAGCCGTTTATGGGCACTGAATGGTGTGGTAGAGGCCTGTAGGCACCCACGCCAGTACCGCTTTTCTGCCGCATAAGTGCATTTTTTACGGAACTACTCAAACATTTGTAAAAAATAATCAGCGTTTCAGAAAGAGAAATATATTCTCCAGATGGTTTATTTCAGCACGTTTTGCGTTATTGTTGGCCGTTTAATTACAAACGACGCTTGATTTGTAACTTGAAAATTTTTTTGTTAAAAAAATTGACTTTACTGGTGTTTTTCATAGCCTTAGCCAATTATTTTTTATTATTTCTTCATGTTTTATTATTCTATAACTATTCAGCTTTAATAAAAGACCAACTATGAGGAAATTAAGCTTAATGCTGATTCTCAGTGACCAAAAAACTAACTAAAGTCAAAGTCGTCAATCCGCCATCTTTGGACGCCATTTTGGGGCAGTGCGTTCACTTTTTTTTGTGGGAACATTGGCTTTTTTTTAATAAATTGTTACAAGGAACACAACGATATGCAATTTATAGGGATGTGGGGGGGGGTGCACGGTAAGGGGGTCTGGCCCACAGACTATAGGATCAAAGCGAACAGAAATACCTTCGAGAGATAAAAAACGGAGAAAGATATAAGAAGAGAGACAGCTAGAGATATTACGACACCGCTCATCATGAAGAAACCTCTAAGTAGAAACATTAATTTAGTTATACATTGATAAACAATCATTAATCAATAATAGAATCACTAGATCATAAGTAACTTCAATCAGGCATATCCAAAATAGCATTCTCCCCTAATATGATTCTCTACTACTCATTGTGTATATATGTTTTGGTTTTGTTTAAGTTTATAAATATATTCCTTATTATACCATCTTAGTATTTTTACAATCTCCCATGCATGCCTCCAATTAGTTATAGAAACACATAGTAAATTTTTAAACACGATACCTTTTGAAAAGAAATTCAATAAGAAGTATATTAATCAATCTAGGATATTACAGTAGGGGGTTTGTGGTATCTACTTTTAAATACGCTGTTCACGCCGCAAAGGCTCATATTTTTATTATTTTTTTCTCACCAATAACCCTTTTTTAATGTTAATAATTGAATAAATGTTTATTATTTTTTTTGTAATAGGCTGAGGGATATTATCCCAAAAATGTATTTTGGTGTACACTGTTTATAGATTTAGGTTTATTCTGCGATGTATTCGCGTTTGTGTATACGCTCCAGCCCGCCAATAATACCCTGTCTTAGATATTAACACACCAAAATACTGCGATAATACTTCCAGATCTTTAGTCTGGAGCTGGCCTTTGATGATACCGGATCCACGTAGTGGACGGCTATCCCCACCTTCTGCTCCAGGTTCACCTCGACTCACCAGTCCAGCGCCATTTTTGAAGATCAGCTATTTGGCGCACGTGAGTAATCGATCGAGATCGATACATATCGACACCACCCCACCATCGATTACTTGACAGCTAGACATCGAAAGGTAACCAGATGGAACCTCCAACCTGGCTCGTATTTTTGTTTTTTATTCTCACCAAGACATTTGAACATTAATTTATTTTTCGATTCTCTCAATAAATTAGTTCTGTTATTTTGGACAGTTATTTTTCTTTCTCTTGATTTTGTTTATAATTTTAGAATTTAGGTTTATTTATATATGTTTTCCCCTAATGTTAATTTGTTTTTATTTTCTCTGCATATTATATTTATGTTTTATTTTTCTCGCAACTTCACACCAATATTTATTTTAACTTTGTACTTAATTAGATCTGTCTTTTACTCAATAAATTGTAAACGTTCAGAAGGGGATTTTTTATTTATTGAAATATTTTTATTTTTTAATATTTTCTTTTCCATGTACATTTTTTATGTTTTACAGGTCTCATTCTTTACTCTTTTTATTTTTTCCTTCTTTCCCAAAATTTAATTTTTCTCGAATTTTCTCAACTTTGAGGAACCTCACCGGGGAAAGACTTGTACTCCGATTTTGAAGTACCCCTGGCCAGAACATACACAATTCATATATTTTCAGTTGATTCCCTTCTGAAACTAATATAAATATAGATATAAGTCTTAAATACATTAAATAAAAAGAAATGCGGTTCCTGGAACCCCCTACTCGCCGTAGAAACGCGAAGTCCAGGTACATAACAGTATATATTATTGGAAAATAATATGGTGTATGTATTTTATTTTTTTAATTCGATAATAAAGAATTATTAATACCGACTACTGTGCAAACTAAAGCCTAGCCATGAGCTACGGTATCGAGGAGATCCATCGTCCTTGACCGGACAGCTGAAGAAGTGGAGGACCGCGCCGGCGTGGTATCCCGGACGACGGCCCCACGACAGAGCTCTCCAGTCCGGACCGGGCTATGTCCATTGCGACACCTATGACATGGGTCTGGGAGCGGTTCAGGAACACCTTCAGGAGTGGGGCGGTGGACAGCCTGTCGGACCATGACGATCAGGTCAGTCTAGGAGTACGCCGCTTTAATCCGGGCTCTGGGGCAGATCTGGGGAATCATATATTTTCAAATACATAAAAAGATACATATTTGATTTTACAAGTATTTTTTTATCTTCTTATTTTTCTTTTTTTATTAGGAAGCTTACGTTTATAATTTTTTCATATTTTAGCCAATATAACTTCCAATTTTCTTCATATTTTTTTATTTATGCTTGTTGTCTCTTACGCGGACATAATTTTAAAAGACGGACAAATACTAACAAAATGGACAAAAAAAGAACAAACAAGCAATAAAATACTCGATTTCACCTCTAACCATCCCAAACACCACATAATAAATACAGCCCGAAACCTAATAAACAATGCAATTACATTAACTGACCAAACTTACATTTCAAAAATAAAAACTGAAATATACAAAATACTAACAGAAAATTTCTACCCAATTAAACTAATAAATAAAATATGGTACAGTAGAGCACACAACAGAATACACATACAGAATTGGAACAAAAAAAAAGAACAAGAAATACCAAAAACACAAATAAATAATATCGAACAACAAAAAAAAACCTAAACAACAATTTATCACACAGTTTTTCAAGGAGACAGACACAACAAATGACAACATCCAAAACAATAATCCACAAACAAGCAAAATTCATAATAAAAGAATATTTAACAAAATGACATACATACCACAACTTACAAAACAAATTAAAAAAGTATTCATGAACTATGACCTACCGGAAATCCAGTTTGGCATATATAACGACAAAAAATTAAGTAAATACTTGACAAACACAAAAGACAATATAGAACCACTGGACAAGAAAAATGTTGATTATAAACTAGACTGCCAACATTGCCAACAAATATATATAGGTGAAACTTCAAAACAACTAAAAACCAGAATAGCACAACATACATCAAACTGCAAAAATAGTAAAAATATTAACATAACAGCACTAGCAATCCACATTATTAAATCATTACACACTTAGGATTTCAAAAACCCAGAAATACTGGCAATAGTACCCACGGGCGGATCTACGGGGGGAGGCTTTCGGGCTGAAGCCTCCCCCCCCCTAAAATGGTAAATCATAACCACGTTTTATGGGAAAAAAAATTAAAAAATACCTCTTAAAGTATTATTGTTGGTTTAATTACATTTAAAAGGACTTAAGGAATCACTTAAACACCATTTCATATAGGTAGTTAGTTTCTTTCTGTTTTTCCAAAGTAAATATCGTTATTTTTATGAAAAAAAAAGCTTCCGGGCTGAAGCCCCCCCAAAATTAAATCCTGGATCCGCTAATGATAGAACCTAAAACAAATAATAGGAAACTGCTGGAAACTATACATATAACAGGAAAAATTAATAAAACAGTAAACTATAAAACAGATACAAAACATTTAGGTACACACTAATTCGGACATAATATCCAATATTAAAATTAAAAAAAAAAACAAAAAAAAAACAACTATAGCCAAAAAAAAAAAACACGACAAACAACCATAATAAGCAATAAGAGAATGGGTACCAAGTACAGAAATAAAACTAAAAATAGATGTTGATTAGTGTATCAGTGAATATGTGTAACACCAAAAAATTTTTAAAAAATGTGACAAATAATTAATTTTTGACAAATGGTGCCACATCAAAAAAATGAATGGTAAATAATTGTAAAATAGATAAATTGGAATGATATAGTTAAATTAAAATTGATATAGAAAATGTGCATAATTTCAGTAAAAATAAAAATATTGCTCTGATGATGGGAAAATTGTCCCGAAACGTAAGAGACAACAATGATAAATAAAAAAATTGGAAGAAAATTGGAAGTTTTATTGCCTAAAATATGAGAAAAGTATTTTTTTGTATTTTAAGAAGATATATATTAAATATATTATATGTAACCAGTAGCGGATCTGATGTGATTTAGGAAAAGTGGCTTTTTTAAAAATCGATTATTATTCTAGAAAAAAAAACTACAAATATGGAACTATGTTTAAATCATTCAGTAATTACAGTAATAATAATTTTTAATTTAAATATCTACTGTGTTCGCTCACACGACTTTCCTACCTATTTCAGAAAAGTTTTTATATCTTTACATATGCTCATGAAGAAACAAAAAAGAATTGAACTAGATTTATTTTCCTGAAAATTGATCAAACAAAAGATTTGAGTACGATTTATTTCATAAACTAAAGCAATGTAAACCGGCTTAAGGTAGATCAGTGTGAAAATTTCAATACTCATTAATATTGCTTATCAAAAACTTTTTTTCATAGCTTAGTATTGTCAAACAATAATTTCTGTTAAAAGTAGAAGAAATACTGAAAATTGTGTGATGCGGGCAACAAATTTTCTTACTTCTAATTTGTCATCTTTATTCCCTCATTCACCCCTTTCTGACACGAGGATATGAATCCGTAATCTTTCATTGGAAATTGAATAGCTGTAACTTCGTTAATAGTTGTCCAAAATGAACAATTTTTATATGGCTTTATAGAGAATTTCATTACCTTTCAAACGACAGGCTAAACGGCCAATTACCTGCCGTAAAGTTTTATTATAAATTTTACCGTATAATATATACTTAGAGAGTTAGGCCCCATAACATTTTTCTTTTCTTTATAACTTTTTTTCCTGATTTTTTTCAAGAATTTAGTCTATATACGGCAATAGAAACGAAAATGATTAGAACATTATAGAAAAGTTTCATAAAAATCGCCGTTTTCGCGCTGCAGTCTATAGAAAAACATGGAGCACCGAATTTCTGTCACAGACATCAGTAGTCAAAACCTTACAAAATAAAAAAAGAAGCAACAAAATAGGTCCAGTAGTTACCGAGAAAATCTTGGCACAGACAGACAGACAAGCAGACCAATGGCTAGAAATGTGTTTTCCGGACTCAGGGGTCTCTGAAACGTATAGATCCGTCGAAAACCGCAAATCGGAAATTTGACCCGATCGCAATACATTCCTTACCTAGTATAGGTAGGAAAGTAGAAATATGATAAATTGTGATGTTCAATAATTCAGCTTAGATAACACATTAAAATAAGTATGGACCAATAATACAAAATATTATTTCTCCATTTTGGGAGGATTTCAACCCGAAAGCAATCCTCCTTTTTCATGTAGATCCACCGGCGTTTGTGACTGTATCCTATTTTTAAAATACAAAAAAATATATGGTGCGGGCATCACACAACTTTCACTTACCCTTTCACACTTTGAAGATAAATTATTTTCTGAGGAAGTTGGCTATTACATAGTTCTTGATGTGTATTTTTAACGGAGCTAAACATTTAACCTTATAGCTAACCTGCAGCAACTCATTAAAATAACACAAACCGTATTTATGATCCCGAAAGTAGGCAATAAAAAGCTCGTAACTCTGTCCGTCTTTTAAATCAGATTACCTCAGTTTCTGAGCTTTACGTACAAAGAGGAATTTGAAAATATATGAATGTATTTAATCTATAAATAAGTAAGTATTATATTACATAGTAAAACTTATACGAGCTAAATCTGAATAATATTTAATATGTTATTAAACTCGAAATGTAAAGTGTAGTTAAGGGGTTTTCATTGCTTGCTATAGATAGGCAAAAGTTATCGCACTAATTGTTAGTGAATAATGCGATTTCAGAGAGAAATACATGTTTTAAAGTGTCCGGAGTCGAAATAAGCAATTCTTGCAAAATATTCTCTGGCGTGTCTATGTAATCAGCCTACCTCAAAAAACGAAAAGTCGTTCGAAACTTTTTTTTATGCTTTATTTTATTCAAGAAATTTACATCTATTTAAAAATAAATATTCATCTAGTAAATTTGATATCGACAATAAAAGCAATATAATTGTAAATTTCTAAGTCGCCAGGACTGAATAAAATTTGAGTGAGACGTCAAAGAAAATAACATATAACCACAGAATCCATTAAATAAACTATTGCTATTTTTGTACTATAAAAAATAATTGAATCTATTTATAATTATTGTACTTATCTGATTTTGTTTACACTTCATCACTCGTTCCATTTTTTATTTTATTTTTTTATTAATTTAGAAATATAATAATCTACCACGTGGACAATAATTATAGTAAGATATGAACACATTCACACCATGTATACAGAAAACATAAAATTAACAAAAGTAAAATAATAATAAAATTCGTGCCATTAAGCAAAAAAAAAAAAAATCAACCAATCAAAATCTCTACACATTACTTTTTTTTTTTTTACCGATTTCAGAACGTTTGTGGCCAATTTGAAAAAATCAACCACCACTATGAGTCTCAATTATGTAACTAACAGGCAGAAAAATGAAATGTCATAAAATTTAAATAAAAAATCACTTAAAGCAAACCATCTTATCAATAAAATAACTTAAATAAACTGAAATAATGTTTAAATTTTTGGCCATTATTGAAGAACTTCGAATGATAATTGTCTTATGATTGTCATAATTCCGAAATATGTTTATATAAGCAAATGTGATAATTTTTATAAAAATTCTTTGGTTGTTTTTCTTTATTTTTAACTGAAAACCCCTTTGAATGATGTCTTTCATGTGATAACGCCCGCATGAGTATTGTTTTGTTATTTTCTTTAGCCTTCACTTTGAAATTTATTTTAAGTGAAATAAAACAATATTTAACAGACCATATTATATCCTAACAAAAGCTGTGTACTCCTGCGACAACAAACTGATCATATTCTATATGACTGCCGGATGTTAGCTTGTTATAGAAATAAATTAATAAAACAAAGGATCCGAAAACCCGGAATCTGGACCGTCAAATTTTATCTAATAAAAAATTACGTTAATGTTATAAAAATTCTCCGAATATGCAATGAAAGTTGTAGACGAAATAAATGAAATGCTGTAAGCACATTAATTTAGTATTTCAGAAATTTTTTTTATTTTAATTTTTATTGAATTCATTAATTTATGTAATTTTGCATCATAATAATTACTGTATCA